ATATTTAAAGTATTAAATGTAGTCTAATAATAAAACAAATTACATAATCCGTCTGTAAACTGCGAGACGAATTTATTAAGCCTAATTAATCCGTCATTAGCAAATATTTACTGTAGCACCACATTGTCAAATCATGGAGCAATTAGGTTTAAAAGATTCGTCTTGTAAATTAGTCGCGATCTATGCAATTAGTTGTTTTTTTAGCCTATATTTAATACTTCATACAGGTTGAGGTGAGATCTAAACAGGGCCATAGTACTACTACTAGAAGAGCAGTAGCAGCAGCAGTAGTAGGAGCGCGTGACCAGTCCACTCATCAGGGGCACTCCTAGCGGTCTCCCAGTATTCCGAGCGCCAAACATGCGTCAGCCCAGTCCCACCCTACCCTACTTTCTATCATCCCACTCTTACGGTTATCGGAGTAAATGATCTACTCTGATCGCGTATCTCTACCACCCACCCTTTCGAGTAAATGTTTTTCTCTAATGTAATCCAACCTCACCCTTGCGCATACTATCATGTCTATTCATGTCTATGTGAGATTCTTAACTATACCCACCATCCCCTTGTATTCCTCTCCACCACCCGGATTTTTCGGATCTGACCACCACCGTATGGAGAGGGGCTGTTTCCGGCGATGGCATCGAGGGAGGCCGGCGAGGGCGCAGAGCCTAATTTTACGAATCTTGCCTACCAAAAACCAGGAGCAGAAAGCGAGCGGCAATGGTGCAGTTCTGGCGATGGCAAAGGTGACGAGTTAGGCAGGACTCCCATCTCCACGATGGAGGGTGGAGATCCGGCATTGCTGTGACCGAATCCGGTGATCCCGCAGCCGGATGTGGCCATGTGGCACGGGACGACGCATGCAGGCGCGCCACGGCGGCTTGTGGCGCGGGAGACGACACGGCGGGCGGCACGAGCGTTAGCAGAGCGGCCGGCGGTGGCCGGGCAACGGCACGGATTAGCCGAGCGATGACCACAGAGCGGGGTGGGTCATGGCGACCTAACGACGGCCAGATCCTCCCTCTCCCGGCCAAATCCGGTGGTGGCTTGGCAGCTCTTCTGCCAAGGTTGAGAAGGAGAGCGGACGGCAGCACGTACGTACGACGAAGCGGAGCGGCCGTTGAAATGACGTGGTGGCGTGCGCCCGTGGGACAGCTGTGGAGGTGCCGGCGCGAGGTGATGCAGTCGTCTGACTGCTGGCCAACTGCTCTGCTCTGCTTGTTTCTTTTTTTTTTTTTTGTAAAAGTTTTATTCACGTGGTTGGTACATATGATTCAATGTCGCATCCGGAGTATACAAAAATATTATTATCTACATATTATTCTGTTGTAAAAAATCATTTTGGCCCTAGGAAACCGAAGTACAGAGTAAATACCAATCCAAAAGCAAAACGAAGTACATCAATGCATATTTCATGTGGGAATAATTTCTTTACCACATGTTAAAAAATAAGCTGACCGAAGTATACCAATACAGATTATCATGCGGGAGTAATTCGTTTACTACCTGATTAAAATTAGTTTTTATCTAATCGAAGTACACTAATACAAAGAGTAATTCCTTTACTACCTGATCTCTTTCTAGAGTTAATTTCTTCATGAAGTCAGCAGTCTGTTAGTAAATGATTTACTCATTTTTTTTGGCTAATTGTAAATGATTTACTGGTACTGGTTTCCTATTAGTAACGGGAACGGTTTAGAGAGAGATACGGGAGAGGGACAACAGAAAAATTAAAATTGCCGTGAGGATAGGAGAGCCCAATAGAAATACGAGGGGGAAGAGGAACGGAAAAGGCGGAATAGGAACGGAAAGGTGGAAGCGAGATAAGGGAAAAAACAGAAAAACCGAAGGTATGGGATACCTGAGACGCTCGAACTATTGTTCCAAGCGATTTTGAGTTCGCTTCAACAAATAAATTACAATGTTCTCCTAGCAAGCAAAAAGAGAGATATTTTTTCCCAATTGATTAACCAAGGCTACTAACTAAATTGACCGGTTAAAATTATTCTTTCTCAGTCTCGGACTCAGTACTTTCGATCTCGGTCCCGTTCTTTTCACTTTGATCCACCCCTAGATGGATGGTTGGACGACAGATATGAGGGAGCGCACAAGTGCTGGGGAGTGTGGACCGTCTGGTATTTCAGTCTTTTTAGGTCCCTAGACGATATAAACCAAACAAGAATCAATCTTTCCTAAACTACACACCGCAGGTTAGAAACCAATGACAGACTAACCAACAGTTTTTTTTTGTTCGGTTATTTTTTTGCCACCCCTCGCAAGACCCTGCAATTCACTAACCTCCAATGTCTGTTTTGTGCTTTGTCCGTGAATGTTAGAGCTCGTCACTTGCCAATTTTCCCGTATCATTTTACTTATAATCAATCACTGTTTAATAGATTGTTTTTTTCTGCAGCTAATCAATTACGTTATAATAAACCCTTTTTTCTTTAAAAATACTAAATAAACCGACTTAGCTATATAATTTTCATGTTACCAACATTAAGAAACTACATTTTCCATTTGATTTTTATTATTTATCTCAGGATTTTAGCTAATAGAGTTATATTTTTTTTAATTTCATTTTTCAAGTATTTATCTCGGGATTTGAGCTAATCGAGTTGTTTGAGTTAGCATGATGATTTTGCTTCTTGGCTTTTGCTGATGGCGTGGCATCAACCACGAAACAATTCATGCTGAATATCCTACTTTCAATTGAAGTGGTTATACTAATTTTCTTTCCTAGCTTTACTGATCTTTCATAAAAGGTAGTTCGGCATTTTGATTTGGATTGATTTCTTTTTGGATGAGTTGTAACTATGAATTTTTATTTTTTTAGAAACATCATTTTTTTTTAAAAAAAATGCTCATATCACAAAAACAATCATCTCATAAAATTTGATTGTTTCCGTGGCAACACATGGACACTGTGCTAGTATAAATATTATTACTCTTCCCCTCGGTTCCAAAATATAGCAAGCTGGGGAGGGAGTATTGATTTTTGATCTTTTGTTTATTTGTAAAAAATATGAATACTTAAAAGGATGTCGTATTTATCAAAGTGTTGCATATTAGCCATGAAACTTTTGTTCATAGTCTAATCATTTAAGAAAATATTTTATTGGTGATTTAGTTATTAAAGTTGAACTAGATAATTATTTAAAAATGGAGGGAGTATTTCTCGGTTAATGCAAGGAAAAAAAAACCTTATTAGTCCCACAATCTTCCACTGTAAGTAAAAAGAGTACTGCTATATATACGACATACGAGTTAGTTGTACAACTCATATACAAATAGAAACATGCAACCATAAATAAATCAAGGAGAGATTATATTCATATGCACTATAGCTGTTTGCAACCGTTGATTAAATTCAGTAGTACATGAGTCGGATAGCTAGGGTCGTATACATAGCAATTTCCAAAAAAAAAAAAAGTTTCATGACAAACTACAACCCCTGACGAGGTTGCTTATAGGGTGCTCATGAATTAGTCTCTGATTTGGACTGATCCCATCCCACAATCTGTATATCTGCTGGTTCATGATTTTTTTTTTCATGAACCAGTAAGGTAATAAAGTGGCGCTTTTTTAAGATAAAAAAAGAACTTCCATGACGAGTTTATCAAATATCAAAATTGTTAAATTTGTAGAATCATGTCAGAGGTTTACAGATCCACAACAAAGGACATGCATTCAGATTTATATATGACAGACAAAAAAAAAGAACTGGTCTTCATCTATTCCATTAAAAAATCATCTGAATCATGTTAAAATGTTTTTTTTTTCATACATAGGAATGCGAAGCCGAAGATTGCTTATAAAATTTACATCCCATCTCAAAGCATGATCTAGATAGATTTAATCCATTAATTCCTTACAAGCATACAATTTTTGAGCAAGCAGTAATTGAAATAACAGTATAAAATTATAAGAGGTTGCCTGCGAGAAGGGTTAGAGCATCTCCAGCAAAGCCCCTAAACATAGACCTTAAACAACTTTGAGGGGTTGTGACTAAAAAATAAAGTCCAACAGGGCTCCTACTTAAGGCCCCAAAGTAGAAAGGCTCTCAAATTCTCTCCCACAGCCCCTAGGCCTAGGGGCTATATCCCCAGCCCCTATCCAGTTTTCTTTGGCGTGAGGGGATGTTTCCATGACGTGTGCTCCTTCCCACGCGATCGCTTGCACGCCGCCGGCCGTCTTGTGGGTGATTCTGCTCTAATCCGGCCATCTCCCTGCTATAGTATTGGTCACCTACATGGATGCAAGTATGCATAGATGTTTCAGCGTATCGATGAGACATCGTTTGGTTCCTGTTAAATGTCAACAGCCATCTGCCGCCAGTGGCCAACTGAGATTTGATTTGGCTGATCTAGGAGTTACTACTACCATCTCCTTGCATATATGCCTGCAGTACCGTGTATGCACTGGATATTGTCTGAATCTTGTCCAGCCCATCATATATGATTATATGCATCCATATATATATGTACAGGTATATCATTGGATGTTGATCGTAGGATGGATGGATGAACTGCTACTGCTACCAGCCACAGCAGATGCACTGATCGAGCATTCTAGCGAGTAATCATGCACTCACACTAGTGTATGTATATGCACAGATCAAATGTGATATCAGAAAAAAAAATTCAAAATTCAATTTGAATTGTGTTGTTTGAAATTATTAATTTAAATATGATTAAATTCTATGCGTTGGAAATATTAATATTTACATTATTGTGATATTAAACTAAACATAAAAAATGGATTATAAGATGAAATAGAGGAGAAAAAGAAATAGGGGCTAAGAATTAGAGGTTGTTGATGGAGTTAGAACCATTTTTAGAGTCTTAAGGAAATAGGGGCAGCCCCCATTTAACCTTTAGGGACTTTAAAATAGGAGCTATTGCTGGAGATGCTCTTACAAAGTACAAACAAAAAATAAGCAATCATACAAATTTATTCCAAAGGACATGGAAACATTTGAGAAAGAACAGCAAAAATAAAACAATCAACCTCATTGGTAAAGCACAAGTTTTATCCCAAAGAACTTTGTCTGTGCAGTGCAAACATCCATGCATATGCAAATGTTAATTACATGGGCAGTCTACTGTAGTATCTGTATCAGTATCACTCCATTTCCATATGAAATGTGTTTTGACTGTGTATTAGGCATATACAGATGAAATAGGGCAGGATTCAGGAGGACCAAGTTTTAGTGGCTTCGTCTATGAGTGTCTGATACAGCTCCTCAACCACATTGAGGAGGAAATGGTCTGCACCATGTCGCGCCACGAGCGAAACTGACACAGGAAGACCATTGCGCATGCCCAGCGGAATACTCACCTGCAGCACATAGGCAGAACACATCAAAAAAACATTAGTCACCCCAACCATTGTCAAGGTAGAATTAATAAGAAAAGATAGATTAACTTGCTAGCTAGTTCTACCTGGCAAAACCCGGATAATCCAGCGATGGAGAGAAGTGAAAATGCTCTTGCTCGGAAATTTTCCAGAGGAGCAGCTTCCATGCCCACCTTGGGTGGAGGCCCAGGAACTGTAGGGATTGCAAGGATTCCATGATCCTATGAATAAACAAGCAAGTGGCTAAGAGAGCTGGAAACTACTTATCTGATAATTGACACAAATCACCAGAAAATTATTGGCTGCAGAAGAATGCAGGAGGAAATCATTCTTTCAGTTACCTTCAGAAGAGCAGCAAGTGCAGACTTGAATTCAGCCCTTATAGCTTGGAAATCCTCCAGGGATTCATTATCCCCAGATGCAATGGCCTCCAGTATTCTCTCCCGTAATCCAGGGCCTAGGTTAGGTTTTACAGTGTTGACCCACTCTGCATGGTTTGCTTTGAACTGAGACCTGAAGTACACATAGTTTTAATGGATTAATTTACAGTTTTATCTCCCAGACTCCTTGTCCTACATATGCAACTCTGGCTAGTGAACGAGCACAAATCCTATCACTAGATGCTGCTGAAAATTATTGGATTTTTCTACCACGATTATGAACAAGATGATTGGTGTACTAAAAGAATATACTAAACTATTTGGCATGGTGTGCAGTAGTCAGTAGCTAGCACTATTAACTCAAACCTTAAAGCAATATTACTAGATATCCTGAATAAGCTAGCTGTAGGTGAAACCTTTGAAGGCCTCGCATGACATGTGAAATGACGGATAGAGCTGGCACAGAAGGGAGTTCGCTTTCAGAGAAGTCAGTGATGAACTTTCCTATGCTTGGAACATTATCAGAGATGAAATCTCCAAGGTTCCTATTGTCTAATATCTGACCTGTGAAAACAAAGGAACAACCCCATCAGACAAGATGTATGGTAGAAAGCAAGAATTCTAGAGCTCTAAGCTAGAACAACATGAGTGCGTAGATAGTACTACTCACTATCAAATCTCTTTGCTACCGAAGCATTGATGATTTGATAGGTGCGGTCGTCGAGAGAGCCTAAGATCTGGAAACAGTCCATAGGAATTGTGACTTGAGTAGGTTGCTTGACAATGTCATCAGGGAGTGGCAACAGCACTTTGGTTACACGAGACAACGTAGATAAATCTCTGGAAAACCACCCTGCACAAGCAATTGCATGAATAAACCAGAAACTCATCAATCAGCACCACTCGCAGTAGTAATTAATACTGATTAACAGGTCTTTGTTTTCACCTGATTGTAACTGTGCTGAAGTAATTTGACCAACATTATGCAGTAACATTAAGGGTGTAATTTGAACAGAAACAATACCTATGCAGTAGTAATCAATACTAAAAGGGAAATGGAGGAGATAGTAAGTGAATAATTACCAACAGTATCAAACATTTGCGCCATGGGGATGACATTCTCTGCAGAAACCAACCCATGGGAAGGGCGGAGTCCAAAGATGCCGCAGTAGGCAGCAGGCACCCTGACGCTGCCGCCGGTGTCGGTGCCGAGGGAGAAGTCGACGAGGTTGGCGGCGACGGCGACAGCTGAACCACTGGAGGATCCTCCGGGGACTCTCCCAGGCGCGCAAGGGTTGGTCGGCGTGCCGTAGTGCGTGTTCTCCCCATTGATGCTGACAACAACAAACCAATCCTAGCTCATAAGAGTTAAGACCCACAAATTTTGTGACAACCAACCTTTTACAAATTTTGTGACAAAATTATTGGAAATGGGGAAAACAAATTTATTTTGGGGGGATAGTTGGCTTGGTAGGAAACCATTAGCTGAGCAATATCCTTTCATTTATAACAGTACCTTCACCAAGCATGTTACAGTTGCCAAAGTGACAAAAGAGGGGTGAAATTGGATTTAAGTTTAGGAGAATTCTTCTTCTTTTTTTTTAGAAACAAAGTTCAGGAGAATTGTTATGGGTGACAACTTGCTTTAGCATGGAGATAAACTTTCAACAGAAAGTTCAGTCGATTGTACTGAATAATCTGAAAGATAAATTAATCTGGAAGCTGACCAAAGATGGGTGCTTTACTGTCAAATCCTTCTACAGGGCATTAAAAATGCAAGACTTAGCTTATCCTTCCAAGAAGATTTGGAAATTAAAAGTGCCTCTAAAAATCAAAGTTTGTTCTTTCTGTGGCTTGTGTTTAAGAAGGAGTATTCTGAAAAAGAGCATGGGGGTCGCAGTGGGTACCTGTAGGCCATCTCGTCCATGATGGTGGTGCCGAGGCTGGTGGCGCCGGCGGCGAGCGCGGCGAGGACGACGGGGGAGGTGGCGGCGGCGGGCGCGTGGGTCCTCGCCCAGTCCGGGTTGCCGAACCCGGTGACGCGGCCGGCGATGTCGAAGCTGCGAATTAACCAAACAAGACAGTGAGTATTCGTCGTTCATTTGGGGGAGAAAGGAAGAAGAAGAAGGCAGCGAGCGAGCGAGCAATCCGTACATGTCCTTGATGGCGAAGGTGAGGCCGTGGAGAGGGAGTTGCTGCGATGGCGGCGGCGGCAGCACGAACCTCTCCATGAAGGCGCCGTAGTCTCCTCGTCCTCCACCCGCCATCGCCATGTCGAGCTCGAGCTCTCTCTGTCTCTCTCTGCCGCGTCACCTCGGCTAATCTAATCGTCTTGTTAGCATCGAAGCTGGGCTGGGCTGGGCTGGGCTGGACGATGGCCATCGCGGTGGGGCCAGTGATGAGGAAAGTGAGGGGCTGATCAGATTGACGCTATTTTTAATTATATCACTTTTTTGGGTAAAGTTATAAAAAAATATTTACGTTTAGTTTGTTGTCAAATTTGGTAGATATATAAGAAATCCTGTCAAAATTTGGTAAGACAGGCCCTAAATTCTATTTTGGCTACAACCTAACTTTCATCTCTCGTTATAAAATCAGATACCTCCAATTCTCGACTATTAAAACCGGGTAAATTTTGTCTCCATTAGACTGTTTGGATGACGATTTTATCACATGTGATGCTTACGTGGTACGTTAGATGGGTCTTCATCTTTTGTGTGGAGTGTGTGGCGCTTGCATAGTATTACATCCAGCAAAAAAATAAAAACAAAAAAATTTAAAATAAGTGAACCATGTGTAATTCTATCGGAGAAAACAATAGAGTTAATGAGACCCGCATGTCATTCTCTCTCCTCCTCATCGCTTCTCTCCCTCCCTCCCCTCTTCTTTCTCGTCGTGTCATTCTCCTCAGAGAGCATGAACACAACGGCAGTATCATGTCCGGTGATTGCCTACGGTAGGGACCATGTTGTCGACACCATCATGATGGTCTTGATTAGGGTGGTGGTGTCCTTTACAGGTAATGCGGAACCTTCTCATAGGTGAGTTTGTGGCACCGAACCGCACCTCACTAGAAGCATGAAATAGGTCTACCCCTATAGGGCTCCAAGTCATCAGCCCGCGACCAAGACATGACCCTCGAACCCCACTCCATCCACATCACAAAGGACCCTTGTTAGCTGTGAGTACTCCGAGAGCTATCCGTTGGGCATCACCCTTTCTTCGCAGCATTAATACTGGAGTCAATCGAGGCACTGGAGAGGCGGACTGAGGTGGTGGAGGAGTTGACCAAGGTGTTGAGGAGGAGGGCATGCTCATGGAGGACGACGATACCGACCGACCGCCTGGTGCCACGTGGTAGCACTGCTAGACCGGGTCGTCATCATCTCTCTATTCCACCAATCTGCGCATGCCATACGCAGCCGACCAAGCCGAAAGCTCCTAGGGATGTGAGGCATCGCAAAGAGCGCTAGGGTCGACATGGCTCACACAGATCTAGACGCCGATGCTTGGGGACCCTATCCCCTACTCAGTTTAGATCGTTATTGGCATCGTGTCACCGTCCCATTGAATTATTTTATTATTTATTTTTTCTTGAATGTAATACCATGAAAGCACCACATATGACATATACATCATGTTTTGCCTTTTTCTTTTCTTTTCATGGATATGTTTGTTGCCAGATAACACAATCTTTCTTTACGGCCACATGCATGTTTGTGTGGGCTTAGACTCTGGCGTATTATTTTGATTGTTTTTTACGCAAACATATTATTCTGATTCAAGCCAAAGCTCTTATGTTTATTAACTTTTCTGTAGATGAATTGAAATGAACTGAAAGAAAGTTTCAAAATATAAAAAATGACACAGCATCATGTGGCCCAACTCGAATGTTAAATAATTATTATTCTCTCCATTTTTTTTTAGAAAAAACGGTGTTGTTGGTAAAACGTAGAGCACCATCCATTTTCACACTTTGACAACCTTTTTAATAAAAAAAAACTATAAATACTTACTTCATCCGTTTCACAATGTAAGTCATTCTAGTATTTCCCACATTCATATTGATATGAATGAATCTAGACATATATCTATCTAGATTTATTGAATGTGTAAAATGCTAGAATGACTTATACTGTGAAACAGAGGGAGTACTTAGAGAGATTGTATTATCAACGTATGTTACATATTAGCCATAAGTATCTATGAAACTTCCGTTCATAGTCTAAACATATTAAAGTTAAAGTTGAAACAACAATAATCAGCGCTAATAGCTACTTGAAAATATAGAGAATATTTAACATTTTCACTGTTAATGGCACAAGACGAGAAAAGGCTTGATAGTCCCAGAAGCCACACAATCTCCGCGATTCCAAAAAAAATCCATGACGAGGTTTATCACTATTGTTAAATTTAAAAAATCTTGCTCGGAACAACAATCAAGAATAGGTTTGTAGAATTGTAGGTTTACACATCCATTCTTTAATTTGGTGACAGCACAGAAAATGCATTCCGATCAATATAACAGAAAAAGAGCAAAATCACATCTTAAAATGTTTTTTCATGCGCAGGAACATGCATCAGAGACATCTTATTTCAACGAAGGAGCTAGATTTTATGAGTATTCATTAATTCCTTTACAGTTTTGGGCATGCAATAGTTGAAAGAATCCACACAATTATAGAGGTCATCGACACGACATTACCGTGCATAGAGATTAGCATGGAGTTCCCAGCATATAACGAGGAACCAAGAACGTAGAAACATTTGACAAATACTATCAAAGAGAAAACGATCGATCTCACTGGAAAAACATACAAAAGCTTTAATCCAAATAACATTGTCTAAAACTTAACGTGCAAGTGTGTCACATCATCATCCACTAGCAATTATTATCTAAAATATTTTAAATTATATGACTCACTAGCAACTATTATGTGGAGTATTTTAATCTCCACATCATTTTCACATTATTTAAACATATACATTTATCTGATGTATAACATACATTCATCCACGTATTTCGCAGCAAAGTGCGAGGTATCAGCTAGTTCATGTATATATGCATATGCAAGTTTACATTGGGTGGATTGTATCACCCCATTTCCATTATTCCATATATGCAATATAATACGTGTTTAGACTTTGTATTAGTAGGTATATACAGATGAAATCGGGCTGGAGGATTCAGGAGGCCCAAGCTTTAGCGGCTTCGTCTATGAGCGTCTGGTACAGCTCCTCAGCCACATTGAGGAGGAAATGGTCTGCGCCATGTCGTGCCACCAGCGAAACTGACACAGGAAGACCATTGCGCTTGCCCAGTGGAATACTCACCTGCAGCACATACGCACAACACATCAAGAACACTACTCACATTTTCTAAAATTAAAAACATAAAAACACTACTCAAAGGTGGAACTAATCAGAAATTGATAGATCAAGTACCTGGCAAAACCCGGATACTACAGCGATGTCGAGAAGGGAAAATGCTCTTGCTTGGTAATTATCCAGAGGAGCAGCCTGCGCCTGAATGCCCACCATTGGTGGAGGGCCAGGAACCGTAGGAATCGCAAGGATTCCATGATCCTATGAACAAACAGGGTAAAGGGATAAGAACTGATCTAGGAACACCTAATCTGATACTCCCTCCATTCTAAATTGATCTACATAAAGTTTTTTTTGAGGTTATTCCTAAATGATCTACATATTTGTGTTCATTCATTAAGTCTATTCATTATTTGTGCATTGGAGTAAATGGACATTGATGCATGCATCCATGCATACAAGTATTTATAACCCACGTTGTCGGTGATATGGGACCGGGAGTATCATGACCAGAGGCTTGAGGCAGACACAATCGCCCACGTGGCCTGGCACCTTCGGGGACGTCGGGCCCGAGGGTGAGGTGTCCGCCCTCCTCCTGATTTCCCCCGAGGGGGGGGGGTCGGGTTGCGCTTGCCCGGCCCCGAGGGCCGAGGCACCCCGACCCCTTAAGGAAGTCTGCGCCACATATATGGGATAAGTGAGCACAGCTGTGCTCACCTAACAGCATTTATTGCAGTCTGGTCAAGCGTGTCACGCTGCATGCAACGCAGTACAGCGCGTTCCTTTATCCGGTCTGTGACCAGTCACAGACCGGTCAGATCACGGGTTAGGTGGCGACTGGCGGTCTGACGCACGCCTTGCCCCATCCCGTCAAGACGAAAGCCTCTAGGCACTCGTCTCAAGCCGGAGCTAGCGTGTTATCTCTTAGAGATGGCACGTTAGCCCTGGTCAGATTTATACCAGGCTTCATCCTAACCATTACAGGCAAGGTGTTACACGAAGAAGGGCAAACATGCACGTTGTTAAGCTGACGCGTGGTGGACAAGAATGACCGGTCTGGCACTGGTCGCGTCATCGACAGACAGCCACGGTCCCGCGTCATCTCTGTCTTCGGGGGAGGTGGGGGTAGGTGTGGGCTGTCCCATCAGAAGGGCTCCCGGATGGAAACCGTACCGATCTCCGCCCATTAAAGAGAAAAAGAACAGTCCAGTTTAAAAAGAGAAAGGTGCATGTGGTATCCCCTTGAGATATAAAAGGAGGACCTTGCCCATTTAGAGGGGGGTTTTTTTCCTTTTTTGGAAGGCTGAGGGGAAAGGAAGTTAATCCTTTGTAACTTGTCCATACACAAATCCACAAAAACACAGGAGTAGGGTATTACGCTTCGCAGCGGCCCGAACCTGTATACATCGCCGTGTCTCGTGTGTCTTGCGGGCGGGTGATTTTTCCACATACAGAGAGAGAGAGAGCTTGGGATTGCACCCTAAGCCCCTGGTCGAACCGGCAAAGGGGGGCTTACGCAGTCTCCCGGTGAGGGGCCACGAGCTCCGTCATCTGGCGCGCCAGGTAGGGGGCTCAGTGTGTGTTTTCTGAGCTCTCAGACTCTTCCGTGTGCGCCAAGTTTTTCTTGTTCAGCCTAATGGCCGAGCAAGGAAAAGCGCACGACCTCTCTCCGAGTGTGAGCGGCGACGACGGGGAGCCGAATCCACGCCGTCGAGCTCGTACTCCCCCACCTCCTCCGCGCCAAAGCCCTAAGCAGGGGGAGGCGCTTGAGAGGGTCGACAAATCCGTGGCATCACCAGTCGCAGGTGATGCAGGAGAACGGCGAGATGGGGAGCGTCGCCTCCTCGTCTACGGCGACGGCAGCACGCCTCAGGGTGCGCTTCAGGCTGCTGGCGCGCTCCTACGACACCCGCCTGTCGTCCATGACCCGGAGTCTCCAGCCCAACGATGGCTGGAAGACGTGGCCAACTTGGTCATGACGGCACAGCAGCGCCTGGGTGCTGGTGGACGGTCCGCCACCACCAAGACCTCCGGCGCCGCTACCACCGGCTCCGTGTCGTCAAGGCGGAGGGCGCGGCGAGCGGCGGCTGCTGCGCGCCATTCGGCCGCCACTCCCTCGTCGACACCTCCAACTCGGGAGGATCAGCATGGAGAGCCGGATGCCCGCATCGACATCGAGCGCCGGCGTAATAACCGGCGTACTCCCCGCGCAACGGAGGGCGCCTCTTCGTCCAGAGTGTCACCTCGACATGGACGTGAGGATCAGCCCTCCGTGCCCCCGGCCGGTGGTGTTGGCTGTAGAGCCTTTGTGGCGAGTCTTCGGAATGTCCGTTGGCCCCCAAGGTTCCGGCCCACCATCACCGAGAAGTACGATGGGAGCGTCAACCCCACCGAGTTTCTCCAGGTCTATACGACCGGGATCGAGGCCGCTGGGGGTGACGACAGGGTCATGGCGAACTTCTTTCCCATGGCCCTAAAAGGACAGGCGCGGGGTTGGCTAATGAACCTGCCACCCGCGTTGGTCCACTCCTGGGAAGATTTGTGCCAACAGTTCACCATGAACTTCCAAGGCACATATCCGCGCCCAGGCGAAGAAGCGGACTTGCATGCAGTACAGCGAGGCGATGATGAGTCGCTTCGCTCGTACATTCAGCGGTTTTGCCAAGTCCGCAATACTATACCATGCATCCCTGCACACGCGGTGATCTACGCGTTCAGGGGGGGCGTGCGGCACAACCGCATGCTCGAAAAGATCGCTTCCAAAGAGCCCCAGACTACCGCGGAGCTTTTTCAGCTCGCGGACCGAGTGGCTCGTAAGGAGGAAGCGTGGACATGGAACTCCTCCGGTTCCGGAGTGGCAGCTTCGGCCGCCCCCGGATCCGCCGCTCAGACAGGGCGGCGTGACAGGAGGAGGAAGAAGAGGTCGGACCGTTCCGGCGACGAGGGTCATGTCCTCGCCGTCGAGGGCGCTCCGCGGGCCACTCGAAAGGGGAGGCCTGCGAGCGACAAAAAGAAAGAGGCTGGTACTCCCAGCAGGGAGCGCCCCGCCGGCAGGTGGTGCTCCGTCCACAACACCTCCCTCCACGATCTCGCGGACTGTCGTGCAGTCAAAAACCTGGCTGAGCGAACGAGGAAGTGGGAGGAGGACAGGAGGCAGGAACGCCGTGAGGGCAAGTCCCCGGCGGTTCCTTCCGGCAAACGGCGAAGTGAGGCCAAGCAGAAGGCCCCCGCTGTTGACATCGATGATGGTGATGATGACCTAGGTTTCCAAGAACCTGGGGCCACCATTGCCACCGTCGATGGAGGAGCGTGTGCTCACGTCTCTCGCCGGAGCTTCAAGGCTATGAAGCGAGAGCTTCTGGCCATGGCCCCTACTCATGAGGCGATGCGTCGGGCGCGGTGGTCGGAGGTTGCTCTCACTTTCGACCAGACCGACCACCCACCGTGCATTGCCCGGGGAGGGCAGGTTGCGATGGTGGTTTCCCCCACCATCTGCAACGTGAAGTTGGGACGTGTCCTCATAGATGGAGGAGCGGCCCTCAACATCCTTTCCCCCGCGGCTTTTGATGCCATCAAGGCCCCGGGGATGGTGCTCCGACCGTCCCAGCCGATTATCGGTGTGACGCCGGGGCACACGTGGCCATTAGGTCACATCGACCTACCGGTCACCTTCGGTGGACCCGCCAACTTCCGCACGGAGCGGGTGAGCTTCGATGTGGCGGACCTCAGTCTGCCCTACAACGCGGTCCTAGGGAGGCCCGCGTTGGTGAAGTTCATGGCGGCGGTCCACTACGCCTACCTCCAGATGAAGATGCCGGGCCCCGGTGGCCCCATCTCTGTCCATGGCGATCTTAAAGTCGCGCTCGCTTGCATGGAGCAGCGCGCGGACCACCTCGCTGCTGCGACCAAGCCCGAGGGTGGTGACGAGAGGCTTGGCACCTCCGCCCCCACCGCCCCGAGGCAGCGGATTGCCACATGCGACGAGGTCCCGGTCAAGGAGGTTGCCTTGGGCGACGGCCCATCCAAGACCACACGGATCGGTGGTCTTCTGGATGGCAAATAGGAAGACGCGCTCGTCTCCTTCCTGCGGGCAAACGCTGATGTCTTCGCATGGAGACCGGCGGATATGCCCGGGGTCCCCAGGGAGGTGATTGAGCACCGTCTCGCCGTACGACCGGATGCAAGGCCGATCCGGCAGAAAGTGCGGCGGCAGGCCCCGGAACGTCAAGCCTTCATCCGCGAGGAGGTGGCTAGACTTTTGGAGGCCGGGTTCATCCGTGAGGTCATCCATCCGGAGTGGCTGGCGAACCCGGTGGTCGTTCCCAAGGCGAACGGCAAGCTTCGGATGTGCATCGACTACACCGACCTTAACAAGGCATGTCCTAAGGACCCTTACCCCCTGCCTCGCATAGATCAGATTGTCGACTCCACTGCGGGGTGCGACCTTTTGTGTTTTCTAGATGCATACTCTGGTTATCATCAGATTCGCATGGCTAGGGAGGATGAGGAGAAAACTGCGTTCATTACCCCTGTAGGAACCTATTGTTATACATCAATGCCCTTCGGGTTAAAGAATGCAGGTCCTACTTTTCAACGAACTACTCGAATTTCTTTGGGTAGCCAAATAGGACGTAATGTTGAGGCTTATGTTGATGACTTGGTAGTAAAAACGCGCAACCAAGAAACTTTACTTTCAGATCTAGCGGAAACTTTTGAGAACCTCCGCTCCGCCCGCATAAAGCTGAACCCCGATAAGTGTGTGTTTGGTGTACCTGCGGGCAAGCTTCTCGGGTTCTTGGTCTCTGCCCGAGGCATTGAGGCCAACCCCGAGAAGATTCGAGCTATCGAGCGGATGCGCCCCCCCAGCAAACTTAGGGATGTGCAATGCGTCACCGGTTGCATGGCCGCCCTAAGTCGTTTCATATCAAGGCTGGGAGAGAAGGCGCTACCCTTTTTTAAGCTCCTCAAGCGCTCGGGGCCGTTCACTTGGACGGAGGAAGCTGAACATGCCCTTACTCAGCTAAAGGCATATCTCAGCTCTCCCCCGGTTCTAGTCGCCCCGGAGCCAAATGAGCCCCTGCTACTTTACTTAGCGGCGACCCCCCAAGTAGTTAGTGCAGCGTTGGTTGTGGAGCGCGATGAAGACAATCCTCATTCCGCGCACCCCGCACCCTGTGCCGACTTGGCCCGGGAGCAAGCAGGGAGGAGAGGCCCCCGAGTCAAACGGTGGCCTAAGGCCCCTGACGACCGGAGACGGCCCT